GGCCCCCCGGGGGCCCCCCGGGCCCCTGGGCCCCCCCCCCCTCATCCGTGGCTGCGCTGCAGGGGATAACAGCAGCAGCTAAGGCTGGATAGCCCAGCCGCGCCTCACACAGGAAGCGGAAGGGCCCCTCAGGCGAGCTGTGCCCTGCGGGGGGCCCTGCAGGGGCCCCTGGGGCCCCGGGGGCCCCGGGGGCCCCCTCACCTGCCGGCAGGCAGTAGACCCGAACAACTCGGGGCAGCAGCAGCACCAGGCAGGGGCCCCCCTGCCTGCGGAGGGCGGCGAAGAGGACCTGGTGGACCTGAGAGCCCTCAGCTGCGACGTCGATGAGGCCCTGGGCCCCCATCGCCTTGGGGGCCCCCCTGGGCCCTGGAGGCCTCGGGGGCCCCCCCGCGGCTGGGCCCCGCGAGGGGCTTCTGGGGGAAAAAGGGCTTAGGGGGCCCCCGGGCTCAGCAGGACCGCCCCGGAGGCCGCAGCGGGGGGCCCTGGGGAGTGGGGCTGCAGGGGAGGAAGCTGTGCGGGAAAGAGCAGCAAACTGGGGGTTCCGGGGGGTTCAGTGCCACACAGAACTTGGAAATCTAAACTAAATTGTTGTTTTTATTCATTGATGAGCCCCACGGCGGTTTGCCTCCAAAAAAGCCCCAGAACCTGGGGCCCCCAGGGGGCCCCCTGTCTGCGCCGCCGCTCAGCTGCTGGCAGCAGGGGGGCCCCAGGGCCCCTGGGTGAAGCTACTAGTGAACATTTGAAGCCGCAAATATATTTGCGATTGAGTTTGTAGTCCTGAGAGAACAACAGCTGCAAATCGTTCCTGCTGCTGCTGCTGCTGCTGCTGCAGCGCCGCCTGCAGCAGCAGGTGCCGCGGATGCGTCGGCTGTTGCAGCTGCTTCAGCAACAGCCGCGACAGCAGCGGCACCTGAAGCAGCAGCAACAGTAACTGAGTCTGCAGTCGACGCGCCGCCGCTTGAGACGCAGTTTGTCTAAACACAGGGAGAGGAGCTAGCCGTCACAGCTGCGGCAGCAGCAGCAAGCGCAGCAGCAGCAGCAGCAGCAGGCACAGCAGCAGCAGCAAGCCCAGCAGCAACTGGAGCAAGCACAGCAGCAAGAGCAGCAAGCCCGGCATCAGGCGCAGCACTGGGCGCAGTAACAGTAACAGGCTCGACAGCAACAGCAAGCGCAGCAACAGCAGCACGCGCAGCAGCAGCAGCAGCAGCAACAATATACAGTTGCTGCTAAGGGCCACAGATCCCCTGTGGACCCCAAGCCTGGAGGCCCCCGAGCCAGAGCCCCGCCGGGGGGCCCCCGGAGGTGTTTATTCAGGACCCCCACAAAGATGCTGCAGCAAGAGCAGCAGCAGCAGCAGGAGCTCCTGCTGCCACACGATTTGGCGTCACAGGAGCAGCAGCAGCAGGCGCAGCAGCAGCAGATGAATGGGAAGATGCCAGTGGCTACAAAGGCTGCTGCAGCCACGGCGGAGGGGCCCTTGCAGCGGATGGTTCGCGAGCTGCTGCAGCAGCAGCAGCAAACGGACATATCCCTTCTTTCAGAAAGCCTCAGATGTCTCGACAGCCACGGGTGGGAGGAGCAGCAGCAGCGGCAGCCTCTCTCAGCAGCAGCAGCGCCAGCAGCAGCAGCAGCAGCAGCAGCAGCAGCAGCTCGCCCCGCAACGTCTGTAAACTTGTCTTTGTTCGTTCGGCGGCAGCGGCTCGGGGTGTACAGACAGCAGCTAGAGGCCCTCCGCCGCGTGGCTCCTCTGCTGCAGCAGCTGCAGCAAGCAGCAGATTGTTTGAAGGCAACTCTATCGGAGGCTTTGGGGCGGCTGGCAAAGAGCAGGCAGCACTTGCTGCCGCTGCTGCAGCAGCTGCTGGAGCTGCGGCAGCAGCAGCAGCAGCTTTCCAGAAATGAGGCCCTTTGCATTCAGGTGCTGCAGCGCCTTTCTGTCCCCCAGAAGTACTTAGAAACTATCATGCGCCCCGTGCCTCCGCTGCAGCAGCAGCAGCAGCAAGCAGCAGCAGCAGGCGAACAGCAGCCGCAGCAGCAGCAGCAAGAGCAAGTGCAGCAGGAAGAACTGTCCAGGGAGCTGCAAGACACACGGTCGGCGCTTTCGGAGGTGCAGCAGAAGCGACAGCTGCTGCTGCAGCTAAAGGCAGCAGCAGCAACAGGTGCAGCAGAAGCAGCAGCAGGAACGCCAACAGGCGCAGCAGCAACTGCAGCAGGGTTCCCCCTCATAGAGAGTCTGCTGCAGCAGACAGGCGAGCTGGACGAAATAGGCCACGAAAGGCTACATCTTTTGCTGCTGCTGTGCCTGCAGCAGCTTGCAGCAGCAGCAACAGGGGCAGCAGCAGCTGCCACAGCAGCAGAACCAACGAGAGACACAAATGCCGTTGGGGCTGCATTCCAAGCGCTCCTTGACATCTCGGGTCAGCAGCAATATTCGCTTCAGCAGCAGCAGCTGCTGCAGCAGAATTGGAAAAACAGTTCTGAAGCAGCAACTGCAGCAACAACAGCGGCAACAGCAGAAGCAGCAGCAGCTGCAACAGCACAGAGCAGCGAGACAGGCAGCCAGTATGCGGTCTTATGGGAAGCTCTAGCGGACCTTCACACTCATCCCACTTATCTGCTGCAGTGTCTGCAGCAGCTGCTGCGTCTGCGGCGGCAGCTGCTGCAGCAGCAACTGCAGCAGCAACTCTTTGCAGAGGGCCCCTGGGGGGGCCCCATGAGGTTTGCTGCAGGCAAAGAGGCGCCGAGGCCCCTCACCGCGGCGCTACGGTGGGTCCCGCGTGCAGCAGCAGCAGAAGCTGCTGTCTTTGTCTCCCTGCTGCAGCTGTTGTATGCCCGTGGGGGAGCTGCTGCACTTGGAGTCCAGCAGCAGCAGCAGCAGCAGCAGCAGGAAAAGAGACACAGCTTCTCTGCCGACGCTGCAGATGTATGTGGAAGAAGCGAAGAGGCCGCAGAGTCCCATTTTCCACTTGTAAGCCCGCAGCAGCAACAGCAGCAAGAACAGCAACAGCAACAGCAACTACAACCGCAATTGCAGCAGCAGCAGCAGCAGCAGGTGCGGGGTTGGCTGCCGCTTTCAGACGCAGCAACTCTCCCCACTGAGGCTGGCAGCAGCGCGGCCACGCTACAGGAGCTGCTGGACCCAGCAGCATTGCTAGAGGGGGCCCTTGAGGCTCTTCAGGGGCCCCTTGCTGCTCAGCTTGCTGCTGCTCTCGACGGCAGCAGCAGCAGCAGCTGTGGCATCACAGCGTTCAAGATAGGCTTGCTGCTAGAACAAGCAGCAGCGGCTACTGAGCAGGCAATCGCTGCTGCCGTTCAGAACTCTCCTCAAAGGCGTCTTGAGAAAGAGCAGCAGCAGCAGCAGCAGCAGCAGCAGCAGCAACAGAGGCAGCCGCTGCTGGTGCGTTTCCTGTTGGATCTTTCAACGAAGGCGCTGGATACGCTCGAGACCCAGTGGGACTCCTCAGCGCTGCTGCTGCCGCATGTCTCCGCAGCAGCAGCAGCAGAATGGGCCCCTGCTGCTGAAGAGGGGGCCCCACCCCGCAGCAGTTTGCCTCCGTTTCTAACGGCCTTCGCCTCGCGCCTGCAAGACCTGCTGCTCGCGTACGCAGCTTCTCTTTCTCCTCTGCAGCAGCCTCGGCAGCAGCTCCAGCAGCAGCCCCAGCAGCAGCAGCAGCAGCAGCAGCAGCAGCAGCAGCAGCAGCAGCCGACGTGCGCTGTGAGTCGCCTGGAGACGCTGGTAGGCCGCGACGTGTCCCGGTGCCTCAATTACTGTCTGCAAATGGCTCACTTTATGGACAAGGCCTCGAGCTGCGTCTTTCTTATAAATTCATTTTCATCTTTGAGGGCCTCGCTGCAGCTGCAGAGTGTGGCGTTCATGTGGGACGCCAGCCTGCAGGAGCAAAAGCAGCTGCTGCTGCAGGAGCAGCAGCAGCTGCAGCAGCAGGTCTTGCTGCTGCAGGAGGCGGTGTCAATGCCGGTGCATCGGCAGCAGCGCCAACTGCTGACGCAGCTAATAGATGAACAGACAGAAGAGCTAGGCAACCTGTTAGGTTTGGGGCTTTACGGCAGCAGCAGCTTGAGTCGCTGCATGCAAGAGGCACCTCCTGCAGCCGCTGCAGCCACTTCTGCTGCCGCTGCTGCTGCTGCTGCTGGCCCCACCCTCAGAGCTGGTGATGCATGCACGCAGTTCATTGCTGCAGTTCTAGGCTCCCCGAAAGCCCTCGACATGCCCCTCCTTGCTGCTATAAACGAGGGGGCGGCCCGCCGCCGCACCCGGGCCATTGCCTTAGGGCTGCTGCTGGCAAAGTACACAGAGCTCTACAGCAAAGCTGCAGCAGAATGCACACATCCACCCCCCCACTCGCCTCAGGAGCTCAAACTCATACTAGACCTATAGGCACCCCAGGGGCCGCTGAAGACAAACAGCGGGTTCCTGGGGGCCCCCGCGTGGGGGTTTCCAAAGCCCGAAGCCACGCACCTGGTTGGGAGGTGACTCGGGGGGGCCCCCTTAGGACTCAAGGCATCCGGGGGCCCCGTTGGGGCACTAGAAACCCTAGATCCCAGCCTCGCTTTAATGGCTGCAAAAGTGACCGCCCAAAGAAACTCTCAAAGCCTTTTCCCGACCGGCCAAAGGCCTAATTTAGTCCTTGTGCCTTTCTGTGGATGGCGGCGGGCCGAGAAGTGACTGCGGTGTCTTCGCTGTTTCCTGTGTCTGTACACCTCAGTCCCACTGGCCCTGTGGCTCTTTGGCCTTTCTGCCCGTGCTGGGGCTTCTGGCTCTTCTCGGCGAGCACAAGAGAACCCTTTTGTGTCACTGAGTCGAGCCCATGGGGCTGGAGAGCACACAGAGGCAGACTCTGCCTGCGTCTGTATGCTCCCTAGTCTCGGGCACCAGGTAATAAAAACGGTGAGGAAGAATGTAGGGTTTGGCCGAGTCCGAGGGTTTAGGGTTTAGCGTTTAGAGCTTTATTGTACGGTTTAGTGCGTTGTAGGATTCGGTGTTCAAGTCCTAGTCATAGGGTTTAGAATTTAGTGTTGCGCTACTGTTTGAGGAGATTGCCCGGCTTCCTTGCCGGCCCAGCGACAGCTGCTCCGCTATTCACGTGGACCCTCAAGACGGGCTTGGCTGTTGATGCAAGCCTCCGCTGCTGCTTCCCGCCGCTGTTCTGGCTCCCTTATCTGACTTGGGGGAGCAGCAGCAGCAGCAGCGCCCCCAACAATGGTTCCCATGAGTGTCACGGCCTTCACGGCCTGGATCTGAACGAAGCTGAGGGTGGTGGGGTCGGTGGTTCTGAGGCCGTGCGGGAAATGAGCAGGCCACCGACGGCCTGAAGAACTCCCATTCCTCTCAGCTCTTTGCAGCGGAGTCCCAACAGCAGCAGCAACAGCAGCAGCAGCAGCAGCAGCAGAAGCGTTTGCTGTAGTCACAGCACAGCAGCAGCAACAGCAGCAGCAGCAACAGCAGCAACAGCGACTGGCGGAAGACACAGCAAAGCTGTCTTCTGGAAAGTATGCAGCAGCAGGGCCCTGCGGCCCCTTGCGGCTGTGTTGAATGTCATTGAAGCCATCAGCTGCTGCTGCAGCCGCTGCAGCAGCTGCAGCAGCTGAAAGCTAACTCGCTGCTTCCGCAGTGCTCGCCGCACTACCCAGGGGTAGGACACTAAGCCGCTTTTGCGTATCAGCTGGCAGTTCTGCGATGACACTCATCTGCATATATATATATATATATATATATATATATATATATATATATATAGTACGCATTTGCGTTTATGCAACTGCATGCAAAAGTTTAAGCATTTGCCTTTAGACAACTGCATGCGGAAGCTACGATAAACGCATTCACCTCCGAATGCTATTCCCGCTATCAATATATGAATGTATATTCCGAGATTCATTCGCATGCTCCCTTCTTAATATCTGTGGCGTTCAACCCCAACTTCGCGCTAAGAAGCGGCAGCAGCAATAAGTGGAGGTAATAAGATGGCGAGCAACAAGCCGCAACAGCAAGCAGCAGCACCAGATAGCACCACCAAGCAGCAGCAGCGTGCAGAAGCAACAAGAAAAAGCACCGAGCAGCAGGGTCTCAAAGCCAGCAGTAGCACCAAGCAGTTGTACCAAGCAAAATCACCAAGCAGCAGCACGAAGCAGCAGCATCAGGCCGCAAGGCAAAGCAGCACTAGCAAGAAGCAGCCGCAAGCAGCAACAGTAAACAGCAGCAACCAGCAGAACCATGTCGCAGCAACAAAAAGTAGCAGCAAAAATCAGCAACGGCACGCAACAGCAAAAAGCAGCAGCAACAAGGAACAGCAGCAAGCAGCAGCAAGCAGCAAAGAACACCAGAAGCGAGCAGTCACTGTACACCAGGTCGTTGGTCTACTTCCTTAGTTCAAGAAACAATTCTTATTCTGCTGGATGCCACTCTCAGTTTTCGCCTCAACGCCTGCAGCAGCTGCAGGATTCGCTGGAAGCTTCCATACGGCGAGTATCAATTTTCTGCAGCAGGTGTCAGAAATCAAGTTTCATTCTGGCTCCTAGTTTCCGTCAAAGTCTGCGTTTAGCCCTTTTCTGTGCTGGCCGCGAAGCGCGGCTCACTCTTCTAAAGATGTAGCTTTCGGCCAGAGGGCATGTACTGCTGTTGCTGCTGCAGTTGCTGCTGTTTGTGCTGCTGAAACTGCTTCTTCTGCAAAAGCTGCTACTGATGCCGCTGGTACTGTAGCAGTTGCTACAGATGCTGCAAAGTGCTGCAATTGTTAAAACTGGTGCTGTCGCCGTGAATGTTTCAGCGGAAGCTGCCATCCCAATTGTTGCCCTTTGCTAACTCCGCTCTTAGTCTGTGAAGTTTGGGATGAGTTGCACCTGCTGGGAAGCCTCGAAAATGCGGATTTCGTTTGCGCTAGCCAGAGAAAACAAGGCGCATAGCCAACCAAGCAACATCATCAAGCAGAAATAATCGAAGAGAAGCACCACCAAACAACAGCAAAACGCAGCAGCTTCGAGCAGCACAACCAAAGGACAACAGCAAGCAGCAGCAACAAATAACAGCTTCGGGCAACACAGCCAAAAAGCAGCAGCAGCAACAAAAAGCAGCAACAGACAGCAGCACCAAGTAACTGCAGCAAATATTTTGGTGAGTCTATTTTTCATGCTGTTGCTACTTGCGCAGATGTCTTAACCCAGCACTCCACATCTGTTGCTGCTGTCCAAATCCCAGCTGCATGGCATTCAGACGCCCACAAGTTTCGATCAAGTTGCTGCTGCCGCTTCTGCTGCTCTTGTGGCTGGTTGAAGAACTGTAGCGGTCTCACCCCACTGCGACGCGTACGGGTGTCTCTTCTGCCCAATTTCCGAAATTTCTCTGTTTTTTCCTTACACCAGAAGTGATGCAAAACGGCCATCCTGTCTGTAACATACAAGCCGCCCAAAAAAATTTCTTCGAATCACG